AAAAAAAGAGGAAATAAGATATTTGCAACATTTAAAAAATATAGTACAGTTATACATATGTGTGTACTATCAACTCTCAGTCCCGACATCTTAAAGACATTTTGTGTTACCGTTCTGGTTAGAGAACTTTTTTTTTATCCATAAGCCCTTTATTATAGATCTGTGGAGGACAGCGGGGAGGCCTCAAAGACTGCCTCCAGGACTGGGAATGGTCACCAGGCTTTTATACTTGTCTGGAGTTAACAGCTAATTTAGGGGATGAATCTTCTCTTGCTATACAGACAGAATAAAGAAAGGACACTAAAATTCTAAGGTCAAGCAATTAGTCTTTCAGTCTGGAGAAAACTGATGTCAGTTTTATAACTATAACCACCATTCCATAACTGATACATACATAGAGAATTCTGAACTTGTCAGTACCACCCCATCAATGGGTTCTCAATTCTGCTAAAAGTAGCACAAAAGCTTCCATACAGAATATTTAAGCAATATGGTATGACTGATGTTCAAATAAAGTTTCAGTAAAAGAATACGAAAATTCAAGTTCTGTTTAATTTCCATGTACCATAAAATCTTCCTTTGATTTTGTTTTTTTCTCAACCATTCCAAACATTTGCAAAATAGAATACAATTCTTGTCATGCAGGCCATATGCAATGACAAGCAGGCATGGCAGAACTTAGCTGTAGGCTAATTGTCTTCAAAATACGGTGCACAGACAACCAGCAGAAACTGTCACTGAAGCACATAGTATCAGGGGGGAGTGTCCCCTTCTCCAATTCCAAAAGTGATTCTTAGACCAGTTAGATTTAGTGACACTTCTGTTCTCCAAGGCAAGGCAGAGAGGAGTTGAGTGGAGAAGTTCCATGTAAGAGTTAGGAATGCTGGTGGCAGTGTGGTTAAGGTCTTCAACCACTAACCAAAGCTTGCTACCTTGAACCTCCTTGTTGATCTGTAGGAGAAAGATCTGGCAGTCTACTTCTGCAAGATTTCCAGCCTTCAAAACCCCTCTGAGCAGTTCTGTTCTGTCCACAGAGACACTGTCTACAGGGACACGTTCAATCAATTGACTTGATGGCAGTGGGTTTGATGAGGTTTTACTTTTTCATTTTTTTTCCATTTAAAGGTTCTGGCTAATGGCAAATGGGAATTACAGGTGAATTCATTGACCCCAGGAGGCTTTTGGGTGAAATTACAGGAGGAGGGTTCCAGCTTCTAGTTCATCCACAGATTTCAGTTGCTTTGGGGTTTTTTTTTTAAAAGTAGTTCATAATTTTTTTAAAAAAAAATTATTTTCTTAATTTTAATGAACATTTACAGAGATTTTGGATTTTCCTTAACTTATTGTTGCACTTTTCTCTCTACCCCTACCCCTACCCCAGTTCATTCCTCTCTTCATTATTTTTTATAAAAGGAAAAGCTGAAAATTGGGGCAGCGTTCGGGGAATGACCAGAATACCAGCACACTGCACTCTTGCCTCACAAGCCCCTGCTTCAAGGCCAACACTGGAAGCTGAAGGGACAAAATAATCACTTTTTGTTGATATGTGCCATCAAATCACTTACAACTCATAGCAACCCTTTGTACAACAGCTCTGAACCATGCTGTATACTGTGTCAACTTTATTGTCTCTGATACAACTACTCCCATTGTCCCAGTCATTTAATCAATCCATCTCATTGAGGGTCTTCCTCTCTTGCTCTGCCCTTCCACACTTCAAAGCATGGTGTCCTTCCCCAAGGACTTGTCTGTCCTTGCAACATGTCCAAAGTATGTCAGATGAAGCTTCATAATTTTTGCCTCCGAGGATCAGCCTATCATTTTTTTAAAGCAAAAAATATATAAAAGGAAAAAAATCCTCCTGACAGAGGCAAGAGGATGGGCCTCCTCATGTTGCTCCTTCCCCCACAGCCCAGAATATTTGGGGAACTGATACAGGCACCTTGATCTCTTCCAGCAAGGACAAGGGAGGCATCTGTGATCAGGGACTAGGCACCCTGTCAGCAAGGAGGAGACAGGCTCTGAGCAGGGAAGCAAATGGAAAAGAGACAGGGAAGACAAGAAGACTGGAAGACAAGGCAATTTTTGAAGATTCATCAACAACTTGTATTATATGGATGATACAACTCTAATTGCTGAAACTGAGGAGGTCCTGAAATGTTTACTGCTGAAGGTCAAGGACTGCAGCCTTCAGTAGGAATTGAAGCTCAACATCAAGAAAACAAAGATTCTCACCAAAGGCAATTTACACATTTAATGCAATCCCAATAAAAATACCAACCCGTTCTTCAACGAGATGGAAAAGGCAATCTCCAGTTTCATTTGGAATGGAAAGAAGCCCCGAATAAGCAAAGCACTCCTTAAGAATAGAAGAATGGTAGGAGTTATCTCACTCCCT